ATGCAGAATTTCATTCTCTTTCTAAGGGTTATAAAATTGTTGCAGCATAATCAATGAGCTTTCAGAAAGTAACCAAAAACTGCGACCCATGTTTTTTGAGATGGTCAAGTTTCACGATTTTTTAAAACTTTCATATCAATCCTCAGAAGGAGTTCAAGTAACGATTCGATAGAGTAAACCTTATAGAATACAGCACTACTTTTTTCTCTTCCTCGTAGCTCGCCGTAATATTTAAAAGATTTTTCAACAGAACTATCGGATTTTGGCAGGCCCACCTCAGCCACAATCGCATCAAACATCATAATTCCTCAGAATTTGAGACTACCAAAATGGTGCCATGAGTTAGCATTAATTTTACAAAACAAGTGGGGGTTTACGGGTTCGAAATATCAAATTTCGAGTTTTTCAGGTACAGCCTGGAACTCGCTAAAAAAATGAGTTATGATGATTTCTCCCCGGAAACTAAACGAATCGGAAACAAAAAACATCCGTTAGAAAGAGGAGAAAATGCTGCATCGAATAGCGCGCGAGCTGCTTTTCTTTTGATGTTCTACCAGGATTTATCTGCTCAAGTATGGAAATCGGTAGCATCAGTTAAAATTCTGTTAAAAATGTATGAGAAGCTTTGGAAAGGAGGAAAAAGCAGCACTGTATTTTGTAAGGTTTACTCTATCGAATCGTTACTTGAACTCCTTGTGAGGATTGATATGAAAGTTCTAAAAAATCGTGAAACTTGACCATCTCAAAAAACATGGGTCGCAGATTTTGGTTATTTTCTGAAAGCTCATTGAATGTTTTGCAACAGTTTCATAACCATTAAAAAGAGAATGAAATTCTGCATCGAATGCCTCCAAGATCTCTTAGGAACTTCTGTTCCATCAAATGTGGCGCCTGTTTGAAAAAAGCGAAATTACTTTCGGAATGACCTAATATATACGGACGCCGATTCAGGTTGCTTACCGACCACAAGCCGTTACTACACATTTTTGGACCGAAGAAGATAGTGCCCGTCTACACAACGAACAGGCTGCAACGATAGAAGCTTATTCTACTTGCATACGATTTCGACCTGGAGTACCAGAAGACGACAGAATTCGGACAAGCGGATGCATTATCTCGACTGATCCCTCCACGACCATTCCAAACCGAAGACGTCGTAATCGCGAAAATAGAAGAAGATGTGCAAGCCAGGCAGCCGCTATACGAGCGCTACCAGTAACCAGGATCAAGATTGAAGAGTAGTCCCGTAAGGACGAAAACATCATGCAGGTTGTACAAATGCTACAGTCAGGAGCGTGGCCTTCCAAGCCGAAAGGAGATGTTGGAAACTGGAGAGCACTGGGCGAGAGTTTAACAGTGCACAATGGATGTTTGTATTATGGCCACAGAATAGTCATTCCAGTCTCGCTGCAGCAAGAGGTTTTGAGGCAGTTACACGAAGCACACCCTGGAATGACAAGGATGAAATTCTCGCGAGAGGATTTGCATAATAATTGGGCATCAACAGAGACATTGAAGACTCTGTAGGGTGTCAAGAAGCAGCTCAACGACTCAACGCGTTCCTCTACAAAAACTATGGGATTAAGAAAATTCTCCGTAATAAAAGTGCTTCCCGCTTTCATCACAGCGCAAAGAGCGTTTTTCATGACTGTGTCTTCCTCCAACATACCCGCTGTTCAATCTTCCCCTATTTCATTTGGTTCCTTCAATAATCTTTCGCTTTAGTAGTATCACGTCAACTCGTATGCCTTTTTTATTATACACTATCGTTTTAGTCACTCACTGCAAAGCCGCGGTAGATAGCTTCGGCGAAAATGTGTCGCGTTGTCAGACCCCGTCTCACTGGTGTGGTCAGAGGGAGATAAGATAGCTGCATCGTATTGAAGTCTGTGTAGAAGTCGGCAGCGCCCTTACATAATCTATATCTATTTTTCATCGATTAAAGCTGACAAAATGGCGTTGGTTCCAACTAACATTAGGCGACAAAAGTTAGGACGAAAGGCAAGCGTAGTTCCAGCAAATTTTCAAGACACTTGCAGCAGTTTGTACGTGGTCTGTGGCGAATTTCTTGCGAAAGTAAGCTTGTTATCGGAGCTGGGACACACACTGTCCTCCAACGTCATTCGTGGCCTTACCAGCAGCCCATGAGCTTTTCCTCTTCCTGAACTTATATAAGAACTCTATAAAATTTGCTATTCGGATACGACTCGAAAGTGAGAGCAAATTCAACGTCATTCCTTGCCTTTTTCTCCCACCCCCGTTCCATATTTATTCGTCCGTCTGTATTTCATTTGTGAGGTGGTGCATCGTTTACGATGTATTTGATAAATAAATAAATAAGGGAACGAGGATATTGGTGAAAAGCTTGTGCATTGCACACAGAATATAATGGCGGTCTTTTGTTAATCTCCTATTTGCCCCTCTTAAAAAAAGATGGTTTTTAAGGTTCTCCATTCATACATTTTTCACTCATAAAGATAAGAGCGACGCAAAAATCTTGCGTAGATGGTGTCCTCCGATTCGCAGAAATTCGAAGACACGTGTTCTACCTTTTCATTCAACGAGATTGGCGGCTGGAAGGCAACCGCTCGCGCCCGCGCGCAGTCTGCGTCTCTCGCGCAAATGTGATCTCTAATCATCCTCTAGCCTTAATTAGTTTACGAAGCCCACCTTCCAGCCACCAATCCAGTTGAATTAAAGGATTCATAGGGGCATCAAATACCTCGCGCGGCGATACGCGATCTGGCAACCTGTCGAATTTCTGCAAATCCACCGCGAATGGAATGTGGAATTCATATGTATAGGCGCTTAGCTTTTGAAAGCTTATGCATACATGAGATTTTGCTTACAGAGTACGCACCTTACGGAAGATTATGAAGCAATGTAGCATTTAGAAATTGCTCGAAAACGAGGTATTGATCCCGCAAACATTTTCATGGGTCGAGATCGAAGTGCCCAGTTAGCTGGCAAAATCAGTGTTAATCTTTTAAGAAAAACAACGGGCAGTGGTATGTTGATGAGCGGAAGAGCTTGTATAGAAACGGTTTGCGATAGATACATCTTCTGTCGCGAAAAATTTAGGTTACGCCTTCTACAGTGCTGCCAGTAGTACGCGATATTTACAAACATCCCTTAGTACAATCTAAAATCTAAAAATTCATCGTTCTTTGGCTGCTTTCAGTACCTTAGCTTGCCTACACTTTCTGAGATCCTCCTGCTAAGCTTCTGGCCTTTGGCTATTTGCTCGAGGTGTCGCATTTGAATCCCGCCTCAAAGATCTTCTTCTTACGAGCAATTTATGGTAGTTTTCGAGATGCGTTCCAAGTTCCTTTCAAAATTCATTAAGGCGCACTTTCCGCAGGTTCATAATTTTATGATGTAAACTGCTCCAGCCTGTGACCGTCAAAAAACTTCTTTTTTGCTTCATTGTGCCATACTTTCTTTTCCAGTCTTTGATTAAATGCACCTCCGCTTGAAGGAGGCTAGCCACTGCGGAAGGATAAATTTACTTGGACAAAGCATGCTTCACCTTTGAATGGTGAGATTGTTTTTGGTCTGCGCATGAGTCGTTCCGTGTGGCGATTCACATGTCCACCGACGCTGTCTGTTTTCAAAATCTACGGAGTTGTGAGCCGGAGAGAAACAAGAAAATTGCTGTTTTCCTTACGGAACCCATAGCCACTTTGAAAATCCTGTGATCTTCTTCTAGCGGCATCCGATTCCACATTAAAGCCGCCAACAACCAACTTGTAGAAGGACTTCTCGCTGCGGACGACCTGCTCTATGCCTTCGTAGAAAGCATGTAGTTCTGATTCATCAGCTGATGTTGGAGAGTAGCATTTGATGATACTGATGGTCTTCTGACGTGGAAGGCGTAAACGCAGGATAATATAAGCAGGTCATAGGATCTCATGAGAATCGAAGGATGGACGGCAGATGTGTTAACTGCAAAGCCGCTCTCAAAGTCATAATCTGACTTTCTCACCATGAGGGTCCCATCATTCAACCCTCTCAACTGTCGCACCGGGTTACCTCTTGGCATTCGCTTGCTGCAAAGATGTTTTACATGATGTGCTCTCCAGGAGAGCGTGAAGGTGGCGTTTGTGAAGACAAACCCGGGCAAACATGAGGCAGTCTTTATTGCATAACGTTCCAGACGTGTCGTCTTTGTCCGACCTAAGCGGCGCACGTTGCGTGGCATCGTTGCGCACGCAACGTTGGCATCCCAAAAACAGCAGACTTAGGAGGCATGATCTAGCCTTCCATAAACGATCACGGACCTTGAGAGTTAAAGTGGGACTGCCAGCGATTCCTATCTAATGCCAGAATGCTTGGTCTTGCCCGAATTCAGTCTCAGCTTGGCATCCAGCCAAACCGTATAAGTCAAAGTTTTTCACTGCACGGAAGGCCCTGGTTTGTACACGCGGATGTACATTGCAGTTTGACATCCAGCGTCACTCCAGGCCACATTGAGGCTGCACGCCATAATGAGGGCCATGTCGGCCCTCCAAAAGACGTGTACTTTTCGAAGATTTTGAATAGCATGATCATTACAACTTCAAAGTACGTTTTCGCCAACCTAAAATTTTAGTTTGTGCTTTTTGTCAACTTTTAAAGATCAAAGCGACACCTTACGCAAAAAACGGAGCCAGCGCATATCGTAGTTTTGCCTTTCATTTTTTGCAAGTCGTGCTAAGTGAATACATGCGGACCAGCTCTCTACTGTTTTAATAAATTATTTGCTAAAATTTCTGCTTTAGAAGAGTTTTCTTTCAAAAACCAAAGTTGCTTGAACTCTTTTGAAATGCAAATGGCTGTATTCAGATTCTTTTCTCATCAGATAAGTAGGACAAAAACATTCTTCGGGCGGCAAGCTCTCTTTTAGAATTTGTGCTCGTGAGCGTAAAGCACCTAGGATCAAAATGATAGAAAAAGTGCGTGATGATAAACCAACGAACACTTTATTAGCGATATGAATTTGAGTCACTTTTGAAGCATTTTCAAGGGCTTTTGATCTCTTGTGACGATGAACCACGTTCTTCCTCTGCTTTATGTTTTTCACCAAGTTCGATAGATGCAGCGCTGCGACCACTCTGGTACAATTTTTTTTTCAGAAACATCCTTGACGAGAAGACTTGTTTAAGTGAGACATGGTATCAGAGGATGTAGATGGAATCTCATTTTCTATGAAAGCATAATTCTAAGCACCAACCTGTTCCGATATTGCACGTTCGCTGATACACAATCCTTTACAGCACTGCGTTGCTGCCACAACTATCAGCAATACTATCATGCCAACAAGGGGTACCACAATTATGGTAAAACCATGATAAAACTAAAGTCAATCTTTGTGTTTCACAAAAATTTCCTATCCTAACATGTTCTTGTTGATGATGATAAGGTCTATGAATTGGAAAATTTGATTTCTAAATCGAAACTCTTCCTACTCACTCTTCTTTGCTTTTCTGTAAATTCAACAGTTGTTTGAAATACAACCATTGATCCATTGTTTGGAGCAGGTTTGATTCCAAGGAGGTAGCACATTAAAGGATAGAGATCAATGTTTTGAGGAATCCGCGTTATCTAGAAGTAGGAAACTGTTAAACTGTTTGAGTGGTTGCATTTGTCAGTTCGAACCCAAAGTACTGTGTACATATCTGTATCGATACTTATACGATATTTGCACTAGAGTCTTTATACAGTGCTGGCCAAAAGTTTGCAGTCACTCTTTTCGCCATATCTTACTCCTTTTGCATAGAACGAATCCAAATTTTGATATTGCATGCAACTTACACGATACAACGCCAAAAATTTCAGCAGTTTCAAGCACAGGGAAGGAATTTTTGGGGAAAATGGCGAAAACGGCAAAATTGAGGTTGATCAAAAGTTGCAGCCAGTTTTTGCTAAACGACCCTGGGAAACTTGTCACATTCCTGTATCTGGACTACAAATGCACTCTTGAGCTTTGAGATATGCAGTGCAATTAGCATTTATCAAAGCACGAAAGAAGATCTTACGGAGTAATCTTACTTGAACGCCAAAAAAAACTGCAAATTGGACAATTTATAAGGTTGTTGAGGAGTAATCGGCTGATACGTGCTCCTATGAAAGGGTTGCACCCAGAGGTGCGATAGTGGAAGCCGAACCCCTACCTTCGCTTTTGAGCTGGTACAGGGTGACCACCTTCACTCGCTGGACGATAAAGAAGGAAATTAAGCAAAATAAACGCAAAAGGGATCATTGAAAGCATATTTTTATGTATATAGCTTCATAAATATCTAAAACAAACGTGCTTACCAAATAGTGTATTTGGAAGTAAAACTCAGCGGAACTGTACGTATTTTATTAAGTAAATTCTGTCATAACGTACAGCGAAGAAAGTAGATCGGTCCAGGGAGTAACCGCGAAGAACCAGAATTTTGAATAATTAAATAGTGAAAAATCATGCAAAATTTCCACTGTTATAAGTCTGTTATTTGAAGATGTCAGCAGCTGCGATTTCATAGTTTTTGAAGGGTAAATGGTGCTCTATCAAACAGCGGAGGAACCGAGTCGATTTGAGAGATAGTCGTCGAAAACCAGGATTCTAAAAACTTGCGCCATTTTTGCGTGTTTTTTGACAGCTGACAGTCAAACTCATATAGATCTTGAATGTGAAAGTGCGTGATGTTGCGACTTCATAAGTTTTGTAGAGTGAGGTTTGCCTTATCAGAGTAATTCTTAGCCGTACCAATCAACTGAAACATCGCCAAGATCCAGAGTCTTGAAAAAGCAGGTAAAAAAGCGCTTTTTGCAATTCAACAGCTCATAACTTCTTCAGATCTGCATGAATCATGTTGCGACTTCATAGGTTAGATTCTTCTCATCAAGAGCTTTCAGATGATATGTAATATGTGGGGTTCAGGACCTCCTATAACTTATGCCCGTGGGAAGGGGGGGGGGGAGACTTTTCATCACAAATTTTCCCTCCAGCCCACTTCAATGTACTGGGTGGAGGCCGCCAGGAAAGAATTTGTGATGAAAAGCCTCCCTCCACGGGCATAAGTCGTAGGAGGACCTAAACCCCCACATATTATAATATATATCATCTGAAAGCAGGTCCCGTACCCTCACATATTACATATCCTCTGAAAGCTCTTGATGAGAAGAATCCAACACTGAAGTCGCAACATGATTCATGCAGATCTGAAGAAGTTATGAGCTGTTGAATTTCAAAAAGCGCTTTTTTACCTGCTGTTTTTTAGGCTCTGGATCTTGGCGCTGTTTCAATGGATTGGTACGGCTAAGAATTACTCTGATAAGGCAAACCTTACTCTACAAAACTTATGAAGTCGCAACATCACGCACTTTCACATTCAAGATCTATATGAGTTTGACTGTCAGCTGTCAAAAAACACGCAAAAATGGCGCAAGTTTTTAGAATCCTGGTTTTCGACGACTATCTCTCAAATCGACTCGGTTCCTCCGCTGTTTGATAGAGCACCATTTACCCTTCCAAACCTATGAAATCGCAACTGCTGACATCTTCAAACAACAGATTTATAACAGTGGAAATTTCGCATGATTTTTCACTATTTAATTATTCAAAATTCTGGTTCTGGGCGGTTACTCCCTGGATCGATCTACTTTCTTCGCTGTACGTTATGACAGAATTTACTTAATAAAATATGTACAGTTCCGCTGAGTTTTACTTCCAAATACACTATTTGATAAGCACGTTTGTTTTATATAATTATGAAGCTGTATACATAAAAATATGCTTTCAATGATCCCTTTTGCATTTGTTTTGCTTATATTCCGCACACTGGCGGCAATGACCTGGAAGGATAGACGTTAATGCCCCCCCCCCCCGGTCGACGTTTTTGGGAGGTGAGTGTGCGGCACTACCACCTTCACTTTTGGCCGGCCAGTGGTAGCTGGGACCACCTTCACCTTTGGTGGGCTCGGCTCCCCCCTCCCCATCGCACCTATGGTTGTACCATCTGAGACGTGCAGTGGCGGCTTGCGAATGTGACAGAAGAAGCCTTACCTGACATCAAAATCTATCCTCACCTTAGCTCAAATTCGGAGCACCTTTCGGCTTAGAAAATTGGGCTCAGCGGTCTTAAGAGTTCTCAAACTTGATGGGAATCCTGCTTTTACAGAGACGAGCACTGTTCCGAAACTTGCAGAGCTTTATTGGAAACATGGATGTGGAAACATGGGCTACTGTTGGAGAAAAGTTTTGGCAATTTTTACAACTGATAGTTCCTTTGGCAAATTGAATATTTTGTAGATGTGATTATCGCAAAACTTTTCTTTAGCAGCAGCACATTCTGTTTCTAGCAAAGCTCTGCATGTTTTGGACTAGTGCTCATCTTCAAAAGCAAAGCTGTCATCAAGACTGAGAACTGTTCAGACCGCTGCATTCAATTTTTGAAAAGCACACCAAGTAATGTTTTTTCTGTCACATTCGCAATCCGCCACTAAACGTCAAAAGAACACTTCTACAAAAGCACAGATCAACCCATTACTTCCCAGCTGATGATTTAAATAATTTTTGCGAAGTTTACTTTATAAAATCTCCTTTTCTAGACTTTGATGAGTGCTGGATGCACCGCATATCTCAAAGTTTAAGGGTGCGCCTTTGTAGCCTAAATACTGCTAGGTGACAGTTTCGCGAGGACGTTTAGAAGAAAGTGACTGCAATTTTTGACCAACCTCGATTTCGCCGTTTTCGCCATTTTCCCGCCTCCTTCATTGTGTATAAAACTGAAGATTTTTTGAAATAGTGTTATACAGTCTAATTTGCATGCAATATTGAAATTTGGATTCGTTCTGTGCAAAACAGAGTAAGACATAGTAAAAATTCAAAGTGGCTGCAAACTTTTAGCCAGCACTGTATGGTATTTGGATCATACTTTTTTTTATAGCGGGCCTAAGATGTTAGAAAAAATTAAGAAAGCGAACCAGATTGCGAATATAAACTCAAGGCGAGGCGGATATCAAAAAGCTATTTTTGTAAAAAATTACTGTTTTGACTTCAATCGATTTATTGACTAGGCGATTTTACTTATGAGACAAGGATACTTGGTGACCGTGGCCTTTAATAAAGTGTGAACCATTGATTGCATCTTGAAGCGCTAAATCCAAATCTGCTTCCAGTATCTGCTGTGCGTTAGAAAGTTCAATTACGCACTATGCAAGAGCGTCTTAAATAAAGCTCTACGTTAAGCTCAGGAAAACTTTCAATTACGCACTATGCAAGAGCGTCTTAAATAAAGCTCTACGTTAAGCTCAGGAAAACTGTCTCCGATTTATCAGAGTCTAATCAGAATCTAAAAAGCATGGATACTAACATTTCTGAGTGCAGAGATCTCGTGAAGTTAGTATGGAAAAAAGTCCGTAACTTCGTTCAGAAAGTCGTGCAGCAGATAATGAACAGAGATTTGAAACTAGCATTTTAAGGCGCATCTACTGGTAAACTTCCTACTGCAAAAAAGCTACGGTCACCAAGCATCCTTTCGCTTTTCTTTCACGACTGGCCTGGAATGATGGATATAACTGATGGATTGAAGTTCGCACGCACAAATGTTTGCAAGCACAATGTTTATGCGTGCAGCTGTTTCCGCCAAAATAATTGATTTGCTTTATTGATTTATTAATTTCTTTGATCAACGCTCTGACAAGCTAAATGTTAGCAGAGGGAATAGGTAAGCTTATTACGATTATCATGTATTCACAGAATTCAGTAAATAAAAAGCCAAACCCAATGACTGAGTACGAAAGAAGCGTTAACTCTAAAAGCATTTACTTTTCCATAAAGAAGTAATGGAAATGTTGCTGAAGGTATTTCTGTACTGTGCCGGCAGGCGCCGTATCAAGGCTGGTAGTAACCCACCTTATCTGGTGACATCATGGATGCCAGTTTGCACATTTCGCGGGGAGCGGCCAATTCGAGGGTAAATCGCAGACTGATCACAAGCAGACCGTCACAGAATATAGTACGCATGCGCTTAGACTTGCACACCTCAACCTTGAGCGCGGACGCGTTATCCTATCACGTACATGCTGCTTCATTGCAAAAAATGGTAGGAGGACGTGCAAGAATTTGTGCCTGCACGTGTGCATGATCAAAGCGTTGTGTGCTTGACTTTGGACTTGCAGAAACAGCTGATGGACATGCCCAATGAAGATTCAGTAATGGTTGAGAACAAGATGTTGGAGGAGATGCAACTACGTCGGTGCTGATCGAGACCAAGCGATTTTAATGAACTTTTCTTGTATTAGGTTGTCAAGAAAATAATGTCCGTTTTTATTTGCTTGCTTTAACAAAGCAACCAGACTCAACCCAACAAAGGGTAAGGGGCACTGTTCGATAGGCTCATGTCCTTGCGCCATGCTCGATCCACGGAGAGTTCGAACTCAAAATCCAACGAGACAAATGCCCAAAAAATCGAAAAAAATCGGATCTCCGTCCATATAATTTGTACGGACCTCCCACTCACTCACATCAATACTATCGATATCTGATACCCACATATGCGATTGCCTATTTTTTCCTTGACTAGGAACTGAAAAAACGAAAATTTCCCTGATTTTCT